CATTTTCTATATAATTGTCTTATTTATTAATTAGATTAACAGAGATATCATAACCGAGATATCAATAATTTTAATATTGTTTAACTATTCATTATGTGCTTCACATTATAGTATTGCATATTGTATATTTTCAAATATAAGGAGATTAATCAGATTGGAATAAAACGCTTAAAGTATCCGGTAGATTCGAAAACGCGAGACGTCAAGTCCGATTCATAATTGAGCATCGCATGCAACGATGATTCGTCGATCGATCTGACGCGAGATAAGAAAAGTCAAATGAACCGGTAGCTTTTCTTTGTAGTCGGTTCTATGGAGAGATACCTAAGCCGGCATAACCGACCCCCTGCGAAGAATGTTCGGCCTTCAAAAACAGAGAAGGAACGCGGCCGGCGGTGGCGCATGGTTCATAGCGGGCCATTTAACGGTCTTTGCGAAATTGAGTCATCACGCGGTTCCCCTGGAATCTCGAATATTTTCCTCCCGATGCTTCTCCGTACCACCTCTCCCTCTCATCTTCCCGTTGTACCCCCTTCCGCCTGACTCTTGCACATCTCTCCCTCCTCCCTCTACATTACTATCCGACGAAGACAGCATATCGTCATAGATCCTCGTAATTTCCCTCAGGATCTCGCAGAGAAAGATTCGGGGCGGATACGAACGGATTTCCGAATTTCCGCGACCGTGGCAACGCCCGCGCAAAACGTTAGCCGAATTCTTTCCTACGCTGCATATAATTTCCGCAGCGGGCGTAAAGGAAAAGGTAGAGGTATGAAGTACTCCTTGTGACCCATTTTGGATCCATAAAACTAGTTTATGAATTAAATTTTTTAATCAAGCACGAATATATATTATTGATCACGTATCTAAAAAGAGAAAGAGAGGTTTGCTCTTTTTTTAATTTATATCCGAAAATCTCAGGATCGAAAACCGAATGCGATATTTTCTCCGAAATTGGCACAAGTGACGCACTGGCTAGTCATTTATTACAAAGTCTACAGTTAGATTAGATTTCTCCGCGTCTGTACTTCGTATTTTTTAGCTTTGCAATAATCGTTGCGGTCACGATCTATCATTATACCGGAGATATATAAATAAAAGGACATCGATTGCGCGCCTATATTACGGACAATGTCTGTACACTCGACGAACTTGGCGGCAATACAGAAACGATATTCGTTATCGTCGCTGCCTGTAGAGCCAGAGACGAAGACGAATGCACGTAATTTTGTCCGACTTGCGATTTGCAATGCAAAAAAGAAGATAAATTCAGCGTTTCACTTCGCCCCCGTATTTTTCCTCGACGTATTGCATCGTCCCTCTCGCTCGGATAATCGATGAATCATTTAGCGAGCCGTGTTCACCATCAAACTCTTAATCGAGTCTTTCCGCAAGAAGCAAGACGGTAATCTCTCTCCCGAAACTTTCCGCGAAACTTGGAGATTTATCGAGGAAATAATTTATTTAGCAATGATAGCGCGGCGGGTCGTGCCAGGACATCGCGATTTTCAGTCCTTTTTGTTTTCCCGCCAAAATATGGACGTACTTTGATAGTCAATACGAATCTACAATTAATCTCACGATATCATCGGTGCTTAAGAGAGATTTATTTAATTTAATATTTTTCGAAAAAATCCAAATATTATTCACTATTCAAATATTGTCCGCAATGTGATTAATGTGAGATTAAAGAACTTTTTTTATCGACGCTAATTCTCGATATTTAAAATCAATGACGTAAGACGCGTGATTTTTAACCGAATGCACAACTTCCTCTGTATAAGGAACTCTCGAATCGTTCACGTTCGTGATCAACGTACGATCTCAAAGTGTCCCGCGCTGTCGTTAGAATTCTATGCGTCTGGCATCGCCGCGTCTCGCGAGCTTATCCATCGGAATTGAAGTGCCCTGGCGTGATTCTGCTTACCGTACGGTTAAACGTTATTTCAATTACGACACGTTTGATGCCGTCTGGCGCCGGTTTTACGGTCACCGCCGACAGTAAAACCTTAACGGCTGTGAAATCTAAGCGGCGATAAGGTGGCGCATAGAGCGCCGTTTACACGATCCAATCGGCCGGAAATCAATTCATCGAAAGCAAAGAACTCCCCCGCAAAGATTCCAATCTACGATCTACGACTCTTTTGTTTCGTCGCACAGAGTTACGTTACATTTGTCATCGCATATTGACCGTTGAACATTCAATACGTGGCGCAGTGGCAGTTAACATAATGGCAATTCCGCTATAGTCCAGATAAAAATAATTTAGAAAGGGATCTTCTCCGGTTTCGGTTTATTAGAAAAGATTCTTATTTTGAAAAATGCACTTTGTGCAAATAGCGTGCTACTATGAAACTAAATCATTTAAATCATTTAATATTTATAACTTGTTTTAATGGCATTCACAAAACGAACATAAATTTTAAAAGTAATAAACGAATTGATTATATGAGAAATTTCCTGATATTGCCTTTTAAAAAAAAATACAAATAGAAAATTCAAATCTACGTAGATATACGACCTTTCATCAATATTTAATAACTAATCTATTGTAGAATCTATCTGATTTTTTTTATTTATTTTTTTTAATAATTTTAAGTCAATCTTAAAGTGCAAAAGGAGTCACGCATTTAGAAATTAATCCTTCAAATTCCTTGCTGTTACTTCAGATCGCCACACTTTGATGCTACATTTTCATAGCTCTTCATACATGAAATCCACATTAAAACAAAACATTCTACTATCCTCTCTCTCTCTCTCTCTTACATACATACATACACACACATTTTAATCTATACACTATGTACGCGCGCGATGCATTGTTGTATAAAAAAAAAAATGGAATGGAGCGCGCAAATGGAACATTCGTGTTGTTAAAGCCGACGGAGACCGTTGGGTTTTCATGGGAGCACGATGAAATCTGAATACTACGCTCCCGCGCATTCGAATTGATTCCCGGTTCTTTTCACCCGAGTTTCGAAATCGGCCGTCTCTCGTTATCGGCAATTTCGCGAACGGTTTATATCCACGTGTTTATAACCGCGCGAATCGAATGAAAGCATTCGCTTCTCTTTCTCGTGTCGTCTCGTCTCATCCTCCGTCCCATCTCACGGAATGACATTTCTCTCGTCTCGTTTCCCGTCCGCTTCGACTCATTACGATTTATTATGCTCGTTATCGTGCCGAGTCGCGAGTTACATGGCCGCGTAATTTCGCGCGGATATCGGATTGAGTCGCCAAACGACGCTTTAGAGCGCCGTTCTATACGCGCTTTCTCGCGCACTTTCCCGCTAATTAGAATTTATGACGAGCGCGCTTTATCACCCGCTAAATTTAGCCGCGAGTTTTGCGCGAAATAGTTTTCGCGCGGTAGTGAAGCTGCTCTTTCTCGCGCGATCCCGTAAATTGTTTGTCATTTAGCCGCGTCCTCCGCGATGTCGGGACAATTTGTCACGAGGTGAATCGTGCGTGGTTAGTGGTCATGTTTTTAATTATTTACTTGTTCTTGTCGATATTGTGTTACTGTAATTTATATAAATTGTCACTTTTTTATTATATGTTCGTCCATATTGTGCCCGAAATTAATAAAAAAAAAAGAGATACATTGCATCATTATATCAAGCTCAAGCAAGAAATTAGAACATATATGTATAAATAACTCTGATTAAAAATTCATAAATCTATTCTCTATATTAATAATCTGCATATTTTTTACACAAAGATCGTAATAGCCGTTCAATATCACATTTGTAGTTATGATAATATAATAAATCTAAAGAGCGAGAACCGACTGTAGACGAAGTCTGACAAGACATGTAACTTCCAGTCTAAAATGCAATCGTTTGATTTAAATACGTCGATGATTGGCTGGGCTCTGCTTTAAAGCGCATTTTATCTGACGTTTCTGCGAGGCAACTCTCTCAAAGCCTATTTCGAGCGGTTGCTCGAGAGTTTGTTTGAATTCGTTCGATCTGCTTCTCGTCAATTCTAGAAGGAATTCCCACATCCGAGACTCGCGAGAATGCAATCTTCGTCACGGAGCTTTCATTTCCCAGAACCGATCCTGACGCTTCTCTTCTGCGGATACCGCGATTGTTTGTTTCCATTCCCAGCGAGGAAATCAGAATTTATTGAAGCGTCCAGTTTTTTCGTGAAACGACTTGGGAGAAGGGAAAACAGACAAATAGGGAGAAAAAGAGACGGATTTAAATGAGAGTTTGAAAAGTCAGATAGTGGTTTGCGAAAGCTCATCACTCTATGAAAGAGCCGATTCCTTGATTACCATTAATTATAAAGGGATTGATTCTATCTCTAGTCACTTTAGTTTGCTTTAACTTCTAAAGAAAATATATGGAATAAAAATGTATGTCTGATATCACACTTTTAGGCGTCTTTACATTTATTTATAAATGTTACTTGACGAATCATGATCAAATATTAATAGAATAAGAACTTTTGACTTTCCCGAATTGCGAAAGATAAACTTTTATTTTAATTAATTATCTAATGAATTAGTTTACATTACTATATTCTATCAAAGATTCCTGTTTACTTACAGTTTGCGAAGTGATGTATTATTTAATAGATATATTTATACAAGTATATTAATTATTTTTCCTGATTATAGACGGAACGAATAAGGAAATCCAAGTAACGACAATAAAAACTTACATTTTTTAATACGAGAAAAAGCGAAATAAATTGTTGTACATTATCGATTTACATTCGCTTTTTATTCTCTCTCAAAAAGGAAATACATATCACATTTAAAAATTTATTTTTTTTATATACTACATAATATAATATTCCATTTAAGCAAAAAGATAGCGAAAAAAATATTGGACAAAGGTAATAACACTTTTTTTATCCGCTCGTACGCTTCAAGTTTCTTTTTTGTTTTTACAAAAGAATATTGCATCTCTGATTGTATGCAATTTATTTTAGCAACGATATATCAATAATAAACTTAAATCTCTGATACATAATTGGTTGTGTTGCAGGTCGCAACGAGCTGATCGCCCGTTATATCAAATTGAGGACCGGTAAGACGAGAACGCGAAAACAAGTATCTTCGCATATACAGGTTCTCGCGAGAAGAAAACTCCGGGAAATACAGGCAAAACTCAAAGTGGTAAGTATTATGACATTTATATGTTTCTCAATAAACGTTTATTATCTCATCTATTGTTTTTCTTAACGCTTTTAAATACATCGAGTCCGATATCGCGCGACTCGATCGTGTATCTTGCCTCTTTCGTGGAGGGACAATCAATGAATTTATTCTTTTTGTGTGAACGATTGAAATTACATTATTTGTATAAATGCGATATATTCTGTGATCACGGAAATAAATTACACGACAGCGGCGGTTTAACATGACGCGTTATTATGATAATGAAATGCGAAATAAATACGATTACATGTGATTATTTATTTAACAGTATTATAATACTTGATAACACATCGCGTTGTTTGATAATATACTGAATAAAATATTGTACGCGTAAACACGCTCATGTAAATGCGATACATTGAATTGATATTTCTATCTTATGAATGACAAACTTTTATTTCTTTCTAAAATATAGCTGATATATATTGAAAAACTTGTATTATATATACGAGTTTAAAAAGCGATAATTAAATGATTATATTTTAAGAAGTTTATTACATGACATTGCATTAATAAAATGAAATAAGCTTCTCCGTCAAAGAATAGCGATTGACAGATTGTTTCATATTGATTTTCGTATTATTTCAGAAATATCTTAAAGATAAAAGAGAGAAAGATATCATAGAAAAAAAAAAAAACTATATACAGAAGAAAGATAATTTTGGTTATATAATTTGATAAAATTTGAATGTATATTTTTGAATTCACATTATAATCACTATAAAATATTTTCTTTCCTATATAATTATTTTTTATCTCGATTTTTTTACGAGATTCAAGATTCGAGAATATTAAATTAAAAGGATTTGTGTGTATTTCTTTATACATATACTGGACAATTTTTTTATCAACAATCAAATATTCGACCGAACCGCTCGGTGTTGGGATAATCGGAATTCTATTGTACAATATTTCTCATTTTCTACCTCGCAGAGAGAGAATCCTACATCGGATAGTAATAGAGATAATATTAAATCTCGATCGCGCGGCGATGTGCGAGCATTAACGGGTGATAGCTGCTGCGGAATCATTTTCGACGAGAGGGAGGGACACGCATATCGAGAGGAGCATTGCCGCGGGATAAATCACGCGTAAAAATGAACCCAGCCCCGTTTAATCAACAGTTGAATTATTAAAGCGATTCGCGAACAATTGCGCGCCGGTTAATAAATCAAAGCGCAGCGGTGCAATCGCTGGTGCCTCCATTTCGCCGATGGGCGGTAAAATAGCGCGAGGCAGAAGGCACAAAAGAGAGAAAGAGGGAGGGAGAGAGAAAGAGAAATAGAGAGTATTGTGTTTATACAGGATCGGTCAATATTCGAAAATAGAAAAAAGTGGAAAAACAAGCCGAGCGTGTAAATTAACCGTGCGATTGCATGCAACACTCTGGTAAAACTCTTGTTCGAAGGAAAAAACTTGCATTTAATCGAGGACGATAAATCAAATTTTTTTCGGATATTCCGCGCAATCTGGACGAGACTACCAAATAGTTGGATCGCTAAATTATATCGCGTAAATGTACTATTTTGCTTCTCCGATATAGATCTAATTACTAAAATTTTCAGTGAAAAATTCTGCGCGCGAATAGAGATTTTTGCAATACAATCGAAATTTCTTTTCGGAGATAATAATACTTTTTAAAACAAGATAAAGAATGTCAAGGTATCAATACTTTCTGTAGTCCAAGCTATCGAAAATGAGAGTTTTCACGAGCTAAGTTTCATGGACATAAATAGATAACAAAACTTCATTGTTCATTCAATTTCAAGTGAACTTTAACCGAGTTTCGAATCCAGATTTAGTTAGAAACAATGTGCTGCAATATAAATGAGAATATTTCTCAACA